GTGACATAATGGTTTATAAATGGAATTCTGCTAGAAAAGAATATGTCATTATCAATCTCTTAAGCAGTGGCGTACGTTTAACGCTAAATCTTGTCGATTTTGGAAAACTTCATAATAAAACTTTACCAACCTTCACCAAACGCAAAACATAAGCTAATTTTGCATTGGCTTCAATATTTCCGCAGTCAGCATCATTTTTTGTGCGTATCAATATATTTAGTAGCTCCTAAATATCGATATAATGTGCAAGCAAGAAGTTTTATATAGCTCAAGAGATGTTTAAAAAATGATTACATACAACAGTGCCATCTAAGTCCATTATAAGCGGAGCCACTCTCTCGACATATCGGCGAATATTCGTTTGGCAGTCTTTCGGGATAGTGACAGTCTCCATCGATCTTTGCACGAGTTCTTTCTGCAGATAAAGAGACTTTGAGCTGCATTGAAAAAACAGAATTTTCCATGTTAGAATTTACGAGATGGAGCGCTGATGCAGTTACTCAACAATTTTTCGAAAAGGTGCACGGTTAAATGGAAATTGATCGAATTAGTAGCACACAGCAAAAACACTTCATGCAGCAGGTAGGAAACCTACACAAGTTTCTTCAATTTTCGAGGTTGTGTATTCATTGGATACGAGATATTCAGCGCATTCGAAACATCTTTGATCAGTCGACAGGAGATTAGCAAAGTGTTTCAGAGCAATCGAAAACTGGAAAAAAGTAAGCTCAATAGACTCAAGAAATGAAGCAAATGATGCATACGACAGAAGACCTACTCCTGTAGGGTCATGATGAGTGCTGCATATCCGTTGAATTTTAGATTGCAGTTCAGCCGCTGCTTGTCGTGAGATGATCTGCAGCATTTCACGCAAGATACGTCGATGACTAGACGATCGCGAAACAATTTCAGCAAACACCCTGCATGTAATTTTGAGTAGAGAAGACTTCTGTAAAAACTGGTGAAACTTACTGTGCTTCAAAGCTGTCCAACTTGCAAAAAAGATCCACCATAGATCTGATTCTTTTTTTCATTTCCATTTTGTAGGGGATGATATACGAAGAAAAGTACCGTTCAATCATTAACCTCAAAAG